ATCAAGATAAACTCTATTTTATCTTTTGTGAAAACTTCCTAGAACTTGTCCGTTTTCCGAAGAAAAAGGAAGTTTGAAGTATAAAGTTTATATACGAGGATTTTTGTGGTTTGTAAAGTTTTTTTTGTCAGTAGCTGAAAACTTTCAGGGTGTGTGACTGACCAAATTTCAATATAAATTTGGTATTTACAGCTACTGAAATGTGTTTTTACAGTTACTGAATGGACTAGTAACAGACAGTGCATTATTGAGCTGATCTTGTTGGGCACAAGTTTTAAATTTTATTACGATATATCATTACATGTCTATATTATAGTTCAACAGTTCAATAGGAAGTTTTCACATTTTTGCTTCATAGAAGCAACGTTGACAAGCTTTTTTGTAATACCTTTGCTTTCAGCAAAATGTTTCAAAATTGATAAAAAGTACTTTGTTTAGAAAAGATTTTCTAAAAGTCTTCCTAAATGCAAGAATGTTTTACATAGATAAAATAGAGTTTATCTTGATATACTGAAGTAGTTTAGATCGATTTTGTCTGAATTAGGTTTTGTGAATATAGTCACAAATGGAGGATTATTGGCTATTACTGGATTTTTGAATTTTCTTCAAACAAAAAAACATTGCCACAAGATTCGGTGTGATCATTAACCTATGTTTCCACTCTTCTCTAGGATTACTACACCTAAAGGAATAGCGGTTCTGAGGCTCTCAAGAAATCTGCTTAGAGATTGGTTAGTTCTCATTCTGAAGGAGTGATGTCAAATGAAATTTTGCGATCGAAATGTATGGAGAAATTAGGAACTTTGCGTTGCATAAACGAAGAATGAAAACGATAGGAACTATGGACACATTTAAAACATGTGAATTAGGAATGTGTGAAGCTTTTTTACCGCACTCACTCTCCTCCTCCCACTTTGTGCTAGCAACATCTAAGCCTTAAGGTTTACTGGACTCTGATATACAGGCGGTCAAATTCAAGAATTTTCGATTTATCTACGATCATCATGCCCCAAAAAGAACCTGGAGATGATTGAAATTGTCAACCCTCCTATAGTTCGTCATGTTTCTATCGTTTTTATTCTTCGTTTATAAAACTGAAAAATTCTTAATTTTTCCATAGTTTTCCACCGCAAAATTTCATTTGACATCTATGTTTTGAAGAGGACACTCTGGACTATCTATCCATGAAAGAAGATGAAAATATTTGCACAGGATACCCTTCTGGCTATTATAAACTTTATTTAATCAGATCAAGAACAAAATCGAGGCTGTAGTCCCATTAGAATGTTCACTAGAAAGAAAAGAGGTATATGTATAATAATCAAAAGAAAAAAAAGAGAAGGAAGTTCTTGAAATGTTATTCGAAAAAACAGTAGTGTACCTTTTAATTTGAAATGGATAGGAACTTAGAAAGAAGAGCAGTCAAATATTATATGGCAGAAACAAATAACTGGTAAATGCCAAAAGTTAATCCTTTCTACGTCCATTCACATACTCAAACGACAAGCCTGTTGAAGTAGTGAGTGATACCTGCCATGATTGTGGTTCTCTTGGATTTGGTACTAGAATTACATTGTTTTTTTTAAACTGGTTATTATTCCTATTTTTACAGATTGATTGTGATAAAGTACAAATAAATGGTAATATAGAAATATTGAAAGATAATCTGGATGCATATCTTGTTCAAATACCAATATTTGATATTGAACAATTAAATAAACCACCGACAAAAAAATTTGCATTAAAATCAAATTATATTGCAGCAGCAGCTAGTGATCGATTTATTCTTGCCTATGATCATCCATCATTAGTTTTATTTAATTCTGATACAGAATTAAATCGTGTTAAATTAAATAATAATGAAGCTGAAGTTTATGATATATGTTGGTCAGAAACATTATGTGCATTTCTTATTCTAAGTCTTCGTTCATTATATATGTATGATCCATTATCATCAGGATTAAAACAAATTGAACAAATAAAACTTGCTGAAGGTGAAAATATTTGGTCAATAACAGCCTATCAAAATGATTTATTTATTTCTTATTTATCAGGTGATTATATAATTGAATGTCGATCATTACCATCATGGAAAATATTAAAACGATGGAAAAAACATGATATTTGTGATAAAGATGATGTTTATATTCATTGTATTCGTACGAATGATATTTATTTGGGAATGACAATTAAACAAGGAAATAAAACATGGAAATTTGGTATATTTGATCATCAAATGACAAAAATACGTCAGTTACAAATTGATAAACAAATTGATCATATAAATACGTGTATGTTAACACCAATTTCAAATCAAAAATGGTTAACAATTAATAGTAGTTTAAAAAAAATTTCATTTATAGATGAGAGTACTAATCAAATTAAACAAATTAATAAAAATGTAAATATTGGCTTTTATTTTGGTAAACAATTATTTGTTTTACGAACAACAGATGGTCTAGAATTTTATGAATTATAAATTTTATGTTAAATTTTTTTTTTTTTTTTTTGACGAATTTTTTTTAAAGGAGAAAAAAATAATATTCCATTATTACCATTCCAATATGAAATCTATTGGAAAAAATACAAAAGTAATTTTGTATGAATACACACAAATTTGAACATATGAAAGTTAGTTTTATCACTAAATTGTAAAATTAAATTCATTGTTCGAAGTCTATATATTGCACAATAATTGACAATGTGCAATCGACACGATATTTTTTACTGTAAAGTATTTTTTGTTTTGTTTTTTTATTATAAATCTTCTTTCTCAATGGTGCTATCTAAACAATGTTTAGATTAGCCACAGTATTTCTCAACGGTCACAACATGTATTTGTGTGTATGTGTGACATCAGATAAACTTTTTCTTGGTGATATGTAAAAGACACTGATTTTATCTGTTTGCTTTTTTAACAGAATTTTTTCTAGAAATTTTAATAAAATATATCTTGTACTTTTTACTAGAATCAAAGATTAATTTATGGCATCAAAAACAAAAACAGATGACAAGAACAAACGCGTTTATTAATTAACTTTTTTCTTATTTGCTTTTGCTGTATGAGTTATGACCAGACTTCCCAGATGGTCTGCATTTTGGAGTTTTTTCCGCAATTTGTCCGCATTTTGAGAATTGTCTGCTTTTGCTGTTTTTCCCCTGTTTACATATAACATTTAAAAAAAGAATGTCTATCTATTGAGGATTCTCTTTCTCATCCTATTGTCAAACCA